CCTCCCTCTGCCTGTGTGTCTGCCTCTTTCTCTGTGTATATCTCATGAATAAATAAAATCTTAAAAAGTTTCCTATGAAAACTTGAGTTCAGCAAGACAAAGCTGAACAATATATAATTTAATGGACTCCAATTCAAATTAAGAGGTAGAGAAGACAGAAGGGTAAGGAAGGAAAAGAGGGGAAAATGGAGTAATAATCACTGTTTGCATTAGGAAAATAGGTACTAAAAGTAAAAATGTTAATGAAGTTATATGAAATTTGAATTCTCCTAAATTCCCAAACTATTACACACATACAAATATAGCTGGCATGCTAAAGGGAGATAAAAAAAAATCACCCACCGAAACATTTTCAGATCGTGTTAGACCACAGAACCTAAATCTTTGCTGCATAAGTCACAAGAATGATATAGAAAGGCTGAATATAAAGGAATTGTATAATTTTTTGCCTAAGTCTCTTAAATGATTCATTACATAATACTCTTGCTCAAGTTACAAGTTTAAGTACTTGAGGTTGAAGGGTTGTAACATCTGAAATTTACTTCCAAATACCTCAGTAAAAAGTGTTACGCATGGCTAATATCTAGAGGAGTTGTGTACATAAGCTTATTGCTCTAGCCTTGGGAATGGTTTGAAATTTCTTAAAAAGCTAAAAATAGGTGTAGGGGCAACCTGGCTAGCCCGGTCGGTGGACTGTTGATTTCAGGGTTGGGAGTTTCAGCCCCACTGAAGTAATAGTTTACATTGGGTGGAAGTTAATTTAAAATATTTTAAGACTGTATTTGAGAAAGATAGTGAGAAAGGACAAGCAGTGGGGAGAGGGAGAAGCAGGCTTCCCACTGGGAAGGGAGCCCAATGAGAGGCTCATTCCCAAGACCCCAAGATCCCCAGCCGAAAGCAGGTGATGCTTAATTGATTAACCCAGGGACCTGTAAAAATAAGGCAACAAAAAAAATAGAAAGTGACACCTGTTCTGTATTGCAATCAGTGAGGAAATCTAATATAAAATCCCTTAACACCTGATAAGTGAACTTTTTTTCATGATAAAATCTTTTTAAAAGTTCCTTTATTGGGATCCCTGGGTGGCGCAGCGGTTTGGCGCCTGCCTTTGGCCCAGGGCGCGATCCTGGAGACCCGGGATCAAATCCCACGTCGGGCTCCTGGTGCATGGAGCCTGCTTCTGTCTCTGCCTCTCTTTCTCTCTCTCTCTGTGTGTGTGTGACTATCATGAATAAATAAAGAAAAAAAAGAATATAAAAAAAAGTTCCTTTATTTATTCATGAGACAGAGAGGCAGAGACACAGGCGAAGGAGAAGCAGGCTCCCCATGGGGAGCTCGATGTGGACCCGATCCCAGATTCCAGGATCAGGACACCCAACCCCTGAGCCACCCACGTGCCCAAAGAAAGGAACTTAAGAGGGAAGATGAAGAGGCACACAATAGAGCATTTGCTTTAGGTACAGGCAGTATTTCCATCTCACATCAGCCACTTCTTACATGGCCTTGAATGGGCTTAATGAATACAGAACACATAATGTGTGATCTTGTTCCAAGTTTTTTTTTTTTTTTTAAAGCCCTATCTTTGGGAGAACTAAGCTGGAGGGGCGTTTTTTTAATTTATTCATGATAGTCACACAGAGAAAGACAGAGTGGCAGAGACACAGACAGAGGGAGAAGCAGGCTCCATGCAGGGAGCCTGATGTGGGATTCGATCCCGGGTCTCCAGGATCGCGCCCCGGGCCAAAGGCTGGCGCCAAACCGCTGCGCCACCCAGGGATCCCTCTTGTTCCAAGTTTAACCAAACTTCAAGCCTGCCTCCACTTACCATGTTGGTAGACTAGGATAGCCCGACTAGTTTTAAGTAGAATAACCCCTGAAGACCTACCTTGGTAGCAAGCAGGGGCTAACATTTAATATCCCAAGACATCACTGTTGCACTTGCCATTTATTGCAGCCAGTCCTCTCAAGTTCATGCTTGGGTTCTGCCTCCACTCCATTCTGAAGACCCACAGATCATCATTTCTTACCTATGTATTTATCGCATGGGATTTAGTTCTTCAGCCTAGGTCTTTAGTGGCTTCTCTTATGTACGGTGTTCTTGTCAATGAACAAAACTCTGAACACGTGCTCCAATTCTATCTCCCTCCCAGTTGAGAGCTCTTCCAGAAGTTGGTATGGACAAGTATCTGTGTCCTTAATTTCTAACCTTACCCCCAAAGGTATCAAATTCCTTCCCAACAGGACAATATCACACAAAATGTCAGGTTACATTATAGCAATGTCATGAGGGTAAGGACTATTGTTCACTGAATACACAGCTAGCAAAAGCAATAAAAAAAAAGATTTTGACTGCTATCACGAGGAGAAACAGGGGCAGCAGCAGAGGGAGAGGGAGCAGGCTCCCCGCTAAGCAGGGAGCCTGGTGTGGGGCTCAATCCCAGGACCCTGGGATCACAACCTGAGCTGAAAGCAGATATTTGACTGAGCCACCCAAACACACCCCAATAACAAGACTTTAAGTATTCAAATAAGTCTCAGTTTTAATAAGATCCTCTTCATACACATTTGCTACTAAAAATTGAAATAGCACATCAAAAAAATTACAATTTCTGAAAACCAGAAAAATCTACCTTATGCACACCCTCCCCTAATTATACTCTAACCAAACCACCCCAAGTTTTCTGTGTATTCCTTCTGCACAAGTTACTTGGCTTCGATTTTTTGATGTTAGGTTTTATCTTAATGACTTTAGGCTTCTCAAACACTTAGGCACACTCAACCTAGTAGTGCTTCCTTAGGTCAAACTGAAAATGGACATAAACTGACACCATTCAAATGCAAACTACAGGAACTGAAGTCATTCAAATGAAAACTACAGGATTCCTCACAAACTAATATCAAACTGGAATAGATACAAGACAGTTTATATCAATAGATTAAAATATTACAACTTGTCTTAACATAGAACAGCTTTCCCGAGCTGCTGCATAACGATCCTAGAATTACTAATCAGAGGAAATAGTACAAGGTTATGTTTACATTGGCTCCGTGTCATTATTTTCCATGCTGGTATCCTCAGAAACATCTTTAGGATACAGGCAATAATGACAGGTACATCTAAATCTTTCCACTCTGGATTCCCCCTGGGGGGGGAGAAAGAAATGGATTAATTGCACCATGAGCTGTAAACAACCCTCAAATCTAGGCTTGGTTTTTATTAATAATCTTTTTAAGTAGACTACACACAGAGCATGGAGCCCATGTGGGGCTTGAACTCACCACCTAGATCAAGACATGAGCTGAGGGATCCCTGGGTGGCACAGTGGTTTGGCGCCTGCCTTTGGCCCAGGGCGTGGTCCTGGAGACCCGGGATCGAATCCCACGTCGGGCTCCCGGTGCATGGAGCCTGCTTCTCCCTCTGCCTGTGTCTCTGCCTCTCTCTCTCTCTCTCACTGTGTGCCTATTATAAATAAAAAAAAATTAAAATAAAAGACATGAGCTGAGATCAAGAGGCAGATGCTTAACCAACTGAGCCACCTAGCAGAGCCACCCCTAGAATAGCCTTTGGAATACACCTTTTTTAGGGACAATGAGGCAGGATTGAAACGTGGGTACTAAAGAATGCCATATTGTGGGTCATTATGTGATGGTAACAGCTGATTGTCCAACAAAAATATATTCTGGTGTCATTCTCTGAAGGTCTTAAATGTGAGCGATTACTTCTCAACACTGAACTCATGTGTATGCCCTCTTACTACGGAGTATTGTCATGACCTTTTTTTTAATTTTTATTTATTTACGATAGTCACAGAGAGAGAGCTAGAAAGAGAGGCAGAGACATAGGCAGAGGGAGAAGCAGGCTCCATGCACCGGGAGCCCGACGTGGGTTTTGATCCCGGGTCTCCAGGATCGCGCCCCGGGCCAAAGGCAGGTGCCAAACCACCACACCACCCAGGGATCCCCCGTTTTTTAAGAACATTTTATTGGGGGATCCCTGGGTGGCGCAGCGGTTTGGCGCCTGCCTTTGGCCCGGGCGCGATCCTGGAGACCCGGGATCGAAACCCACGTCGGGCTCCCGGTGCATGGAGCCTGCTTCTCCCTCTGCCCCTCTCTCTCTCTGTGACTATCATAAAAAAATTAAAAAATAAAAACTTTGTATTTATTTATGGGGGGGCGGGCTCAGTGGACAGAAACACAGGCAGAGGGAGAAGCAGGCTCCATGAAGGGAGCCCGATGTGGGACCCAATCGCAGGACTCCAGATCATCCCCTGGGCCGAAAGCAGGCACCAAACCGCAGAGCCACCCAGGAATCCCTCCATGACCATGTTTTTGACAGCACTTGAAGTACAAATATACCACACCAAGAGTTGGCCTTAATGTAAGAAATAGACTGGAGGTGATGTCAGTGTAGGTTCATCAACTACCAATTTATCATCCTGGCATGGAATGTTCACAGTGGAGGAGCCTGTTCAGGAGGTATGTGGGAACGCTGGACTTTCTGATCAATTTTGCCATTAACCAAACTACACTAAAAATTACAAATATGAATGTATTTCTCCAGAGTTTCTGGATATTCAGAAATTCAAAGTCAATTTACCTTTCCTTCTCTCAAAAAGAAAAACCAAGAAATAGGGTGCCTGGGTGGCTCAGTTGGTTAAGCGTCTGCCTTCAGCTCAGGTCACGTTCCCAGGGGCCCTGGGACTGAGACCCGCGTCTCGGGCTTCCTGCTCAGTGGAAAGACCATTTCTCTCTCTCCGTCACTCCCTTGCTTATGCAGTCTTCCTCTGTTACATGGATAAATAACATCTTTTAGAATACAAATCAGATACCCACTCTCATGTGTCATTTGAATAAAAATCTTATTTTACCTCAATTTCCTGCTCCAGTAGATCCTTTTGAAGCTTTATGGGAAGAAAAAAAAATGATTGAAAGTTACATTACTAATATTATACATCTACTAGAAGATAAAAATTGGAGAATGTTAAAAATCCAAGTGTTAGTCACACCCTGCGCTCACCAGGATAGTTGAGTGACTGCTGCTCATCATTCTTAATTGCTTGTGCACCTCCACTCCCCCACCCCCGCCCCCATGGGGAAACGCTGTCTAGATCACTGGAACCTACCATGGACCGCTTGTTAACGTAGCGCTGGTACTGAATCAACGGAATCATCCTCTCCATCCTTTCTTTCCTAGCAGTTAACAGAGTCCTCACTCCACTCCTCTTCCTGTTGTTGCTGAGGATGCGGTCAACAAGCCCCTGTGGTTTCTTCTCTCTCTCCTGCTGCTGGGGTGGATATTCTGGTAGAGGGGAGGGGAGTTTGATACTAGGGTCTAGAGTCAGTTTGCTAAGGTTCTTTACTAACACTTCGGACATGGTTTGAACAGCTGCTGAAAGAAAAGAGAAAGACCCATTAGGGTGCATTCCATCATCCAGTAGTTACTGGTCTCAGGCTCCAAGTAGGTCTGCTCTTAAGCAGATTCAATGATGGACAGTGGGAGGTTTTTCAGGGTGGAAGATCACATAGCACGTTACCTACTGTGCCATCTAACACACTGCACATGGTGAGAGGGTTTGAGAACATGCTTAAGAATCTGCTTTGATGGGGGGAACCTGGGTGGCTCAGTTGGCTAAGCAGTTGACTCTCGATCCCAGCTCAGGTGTTGATCCCATGATCTCAGGGTCCTGGGACAGATAGAGCTCCCTGTCCAGCTCTGTGCTCAGTATGGAGTCAGTTTGTCCCTCTCCCTCTTGCACTCTAGCTCTAAAAATAAACAAAACCTTAAAAAAATAATCCATTATGATGGGAAACAGTTTGTTCTTTTTTATTTTTTATTTTATTTTATTTTTATTTTTTTGAAACAGTTTGTTCTTAAAAAAAAAAAAAATCCACCCCCTTCCTATTATTGGTAGTTCTGAAGGTTATTTTTCCCCTACAGGGACAAAAGATACCTAAGTGTATGATTCCAATTGGAATAACATGGGACCCCCCCCAAAAAAATAATTCAGGTATTGGCAGTTTTTCCATTTTCACTTCTGTTAATTTGTAATAGAAGGTGGGGGCAGACAACAAAGTACCAATGCAAGTCAAAAATCAGTAAACAAGTTTCAGCAGCTCAACTTGGTAACAATTATTCCCCTCTTTGGGATACCTGAGTAGCTCAACACTTGAGCATCTGCCTTCCACTCAGGGCGTGATCCCGGGTCCAGGGATTGAGTCCTGCATCGGGCTTCCTGCAGGGAGCCTGCTTCTCCCTCTGCCTGTGTCTCTGTGGGTCTCTCATGAATGTATATAAAATCTTTAAAAAATTACACACCTCTTCAATTTTCTTAGGGGCAGGGGCACACACTGTGAAATAGACAAACCCCAAATACAACAGTCCTTATACAGAACTAGGAAGCTGAACTGGCTGTTACCCTCTTCACTTATAACCAACCATTTCATGTTATGAACTCAAACACTCCTTTGTTTTGGGAGATCAGCCACTCACTTGCCTCTCTGATCCAAACCATTATGCATACCCCATACTCGTATCTCATATAAAGGAGTTAACATTAATTCTTCCTTTATTTATTTATTTTTTTTAATTTTTATTTAGTTATGATAGTCACAGAGAGAGAGAGAGAGGCAGAGACATAGGCAGAGGGAGAAGCAGGCCCCATGCACCGGGAGCCCGACGTGGGATTCGATCCCGGGTCTCCAGGATCGCGCCCCGGGCCAAAGGCAGGCGCCAAACCGCTGCGCCATCCAGGGATCCCACATTAATTCTTCCTGATGAAAGCATTAAGAGTCAGGATCCATTTCACTTCTAGGGACTTGTGCACAAGTAATAAAGATCCCTAGTTGTGGAGCCATTAGGTACTAAGGCAGAGTCAAGGAAACGCAGAGATGGAATGATACAGATATTCTCTTCACTAATCTTCCCCCTATATATACCCACCCAGATTCTTTCCTCAAAGGAGGTGGGTGGGGTGGGCAGGTCTGGATTGGGAAGGGGATGCTGCCGGAATATTAAATATCAGGAAGCTTCCCACCCAGCTTTCTAGCTGCCCAGTGAGGATTGGCTCGGGGTTACCTACCACCACCCAGCCCCACCATTAGTCAGGGTAGTGAGGTTTCAAGTCCATTGGTTTTCTGTGGCCAAGCCTGGGATTGGGTGAAGCTCCAAGAAATAAGTTTTGGTACAGGTAGAACCCAAGAAGGAGAGGACGCCGTTAATATTTCTGGAGCATTGTTCCTAAGAAAGCCCTCCAGAGTTTGTCCTACTAATTTACATTATAGAGCACATTCACTGGCTTTTTAAAGTGTGTCCCTTGGATTTCCTCTGAAAAGTCGCTTCTTTGTTTATTAACGTTCCTAAAGGATAAATTCAGCTGCAAAACCAGTCCAGAGAAGTTTGGTGAGATGAAAAAAACTTTAGGTTAATCTGGAGTTCAGGTTTCTTGCATTTTGTTCCTTTTTACCATTCCTGATCCGTATGGCTAATAGGCAGACATTCTGAGCCAGGACCTAGAAGGACTCCGATTGCTCTTCCCCAGAAGCCTGGTTGGAAACATTTAAGTGTTCCTGAGTGTAGAAAGCAGAGAATGCAGGCCTCAACTCCTTCCCCAGTCTTCCTTTGTGTGTTTATCACTGGGGGTACCCACACGACCTAGGCCCTCCTGCCTGGATGGAAGTAGTTTTTCACTTCGCTGCATTCCTCCTTAAGACTGAAGTCAACTTAAGAAGGAGGGCAACCTCTTCACTCGAATAAAGGGTACATCCGACTTACCTGAACCTTCCTGAGAGTGCTCTTCAGGAAACATCTGAGATGATCCCGGGGCCCAGGCTGGGTGCAGCTGCTTTGGTGAATCCATTGAAACCCTAGTTGTGGACTGAAGCTCCTGGATCTTCGGGTGCCAGTGGGAGGTGATGCTCAAGACTCAAACTTGCTAGCCTGGGAAGAACTTTAGAGCCCAGAAAGAGCAAGAAAAAAATCCAAATTCCAACAAAGCCTGGCGTGGCAAGAGGAAGAACAAACCTCAAAGTTTCGGTCGGGTTTCCTCTTAAAACGAAAGATAAGGGATCCCTGGGTGGCGCAGCGGTTTGGCGCCTGCCTTTGGCCCAGGGCGCGATCCTGGAGACCCAGGATCGAATCCCACATTGGGCTCCCGGTACATGGAGCCTGCTTCTCCCTCTGCCTATGTCTCTGCGCCTCTCTCTCTCTCTCCCTCTGTGACTCTCATAAATAAATAAAAATTTAAAAAATTAAAAAAACGAAAGATAAGCCAATCAGCCAGTCTATTTTAATGTAAATGCTAATGGTTAAGTGGATAGGGTGAGTGGGCGTAGTAGTATTAGTGGACTAATAGGGTAATTCTTCATCTGCTTTGCATCAAAACAATCATACTCTCTGTCACGTAGGCTGGAAAATTGTAAAAGAGCCTCGGTGCTTGTGTCTCCCAAGGGCTGCCTCAAAAATCAGTTTTTCTCGAACTACCTCTGGAGATGGTTACAGGTTTGTGGACTGGGCTTTAAAGAGTTATAGTGCGCCTGCCTTTGGCCCAGGGCGCGATCCTGGAAACCCGGGATTGAATCCCATGCGGGCTCCCTCGCTCTGCCTGCTTCTCCCTCTGCCTGTGTCTCTGCCTCTCTCTCTCTCTCTCTGTGTGTGTGTGTGACTATCATAAATAAATAAAAATTAAAAAAAAAGATTTTCCTTTAAAAAAATAGAAACAACAACAAAAAAATGGTTTAAAGATAAAATCAAAGATATCCCCTTAATAAAGTAAAGCAGAACCATAAACATGTAAAATAGAGCAAATATAAGAAAACGAGAATTTTAAGGGACGCCTGGGTGGCTTAATGATCGAACGTCTGCTTTCAGCTCAGGGAGTGATCCCAGGGTCCTGAATCAAGCCCTACATCGGGCTCTCCTCAGGGAGCCTGCTTCTCCCTCTGCCTAAGTCTCTGTCTCACTGTATGTCTCATGAATAAAAAAATAAAATCTTAAAAAAAAAGAAAAGGTGAGAATTTTAAGATTCGGAATATAATGGCTTCAAATTCCCCAACAACACTGAATGTTAGAGGATAGTGGAGAAAAACCTTCCAACTTCTGAAGGAAAATGCTTTCCAACCTGGAATTCTGTATATAGTCAAAGTATTGAGCATGTATGGAACATTCTCGGATACTCAAAAATGTCACCACCAGGAGAGATTCCTTTGTCTTGTGGGAAATGAACTGGATACAAGAACACTACCAGGTAAGTACTCTTAAGGTCATGAAACAGAAAGGCTCACCAACCAACCACATTAAAAAGCTCCTATCAGGCAGGGCAGCCCGGGTGGCTCAGTAGTTTAGTGCCGTGTTTATCCCAGGGTGTGATCCTGGAGACCTGGGATTGAGTCCCATGTCAGGCCACATGCTTGGAGCCTACTTCTCTCTTTGCCTCTCTCTGTGTCTCTCATGAATAAATAAATAAAATCTTAAAAAAAGAAAAAGCTCCTATCTCACTATATTTCAATTTAAGGTGCACAGCAAAAAGCAAGTGATGAGGTAAACAAATGGATTCAGAATGTTAAAAACCAGATAACAGGCTCAAAATGGAGTTGTTCCTGCTACGCTCCATATCACCAAATTGATGCTGAATGTAATTAGTTTTGGCTCTCCCAGAAGTGAAATCTGAAGCCAGGAGTCTCCTGATTGGCGAGTTAGGGAATCTGCCAGTAGACCTCTGCCATTCCCTACAGGAAAGTCCCCTTGTATTAACCAATCTACTTTTTCACCCAGTACCACTTCCTTACTCCTACTCCCTTCTGCCTATAAAATCTCTTTTCTTGTTTACCACTTTAGAATTCCTTTCTACCTGCTAGATTGGATGTTGCCCAATTCGTGAATTATTGAATAAAGCCATTATGATCTTTAAAATTGATTCCACTGAATTTTGTTTTTTCGGGAAATAGGATACAGTCGACACGGATCTTAGTTCCCAAGCTAAGGGATATGCAGTCGATAGACTTCAATACATAGTCCCCTAAAATATGACATGTTGTCTGATCAAATATTTTAAGCTGAGAGGTGCCCTTCCCATACCTGCAAGAAACCAACATCCTCATCTCCAAGACAGAGGGACACTGATAAGAATCCAAATGAAGGGGCACCTGAGTGGCTCAGTGGGTTATGTGTCTGACACTTGGTTTTGGCTCAAGTCATGATCTCAGGGTCCTGGGACCAAGCTCCACATCAGGCTTGTGCTGCAGAGTCTGCTTGAGATTCTCTCCTCTACCCCTTCCCTGCCCCACACCCAGCATTCTCTCTCATATAAATAAATACAATTTTTAAGGTTTTATTTATTTATTTGAGAGAGAGCACAAGCATGGGGATCAGAAGAGGGAGAGGGAGAAGTAGGCTCCCCACCAAGCAGGTAGCCCAATGTGGGACTCAATCCCAAGACCCTGGGATCATGACCTGAGCACCCCAGGTACCCCTAAATAATGTTTTTTGTTTGTTTGTGTGTTTTAAGAACCGAAATGAACAGGCCTTGCTAAGTTTCCCCTTTCACTACAATTACCTCATACTCCTTAACCCATGACTGTGCACTCTTCATCAAATCTAGCATAAAAAGATTCAGCTTACCCACTGGTTCGGGTCTTTGTTTCCTTATGAAGGCTGCTGTAAGTAAAATTTATACTGAGTGAATGTGTATGCTTTTCCCTTGCTAATCTGCCTTTGTCAGTTTAATTTTTAGACCCAGTCAGAGACCTTAACAGGGTCAGGAAAGCTTCTTCCTTCCTCACACACTGTTTATATATGTTTGTTTCTTGACTGCTTCATCCTTCACCTTTGATGGGGTTGTCATGAGAACCAAAGCTGAGGTTTGAGGAAAGAGCCCCTAAACAGAGAGTGCCAGGTACTAAGAACGCACCCTGTTTCCACCAGTGGCCATAGCTGTAGCTGGCCAATTAGCCCGGTGAGCAATCATGAATTTTGTTTGCATTTCAAGGGCAGAGCCTATGTGGTCCCACAATGAGATAATAGTGGGTACCACTAATGCCTTACTGACCGTTGACATAGTTGTCACTCACAGGTGATATGATTGTGCCTTGTTTTTTCCATCCTTTTCTTTCTGTAAGTAATAACTTTTTTTAAGATTTATTTATTCATGAGAGACACACATAGAAAGAGGCAGAGACACAGGCAGAGGGAGAAGCAGGACCCTGATCCAGGACTCAATTCCAGGACCAGGACCCCAAGATCCCGGATACACAACCTAAGCCAAGGGTAGATGCTCAACCACTGAGCCACCCAGGTGCCCCTTGTAATATTGATTACTATTTTACTTACTGGATATATATTTTATAACCTACTGTATGTTTAAACACACATAATGAAATCTGCCTATATTTCATGTGCTAGTTATTTAGTGAGCATCCACACTTAACTATGAGTTTCATCTTTGTCTCATAAGCTGCTACCTTAAGGGTATCATCCATCCCATTTCTTTTTTCCCTCTATTGCAGAATTGAATACACTCAAATAACATTTTATTTTATTTTTGATAACATTTTATTTTATTTTATTTTATTTTATTTTATTTTATTTTTTATGATAGTCACAGAGAGAGAGAGAGAGAGGCAGAGACACAGGCAGAGGGAGAAGCAGGCTCCATGCACCAGGAGCCCGACGTGGGATTCGATCCTGGATCTCCAGGATCGCGCCCTGGGCCAAAGGCAGGCGCCAAACTGCTGCACCACCCAGGGATCCCTCAAATAACATTTTAAATGCACATTATATAGGGTGCCTGATTGGCTTAGTAGTTGAGCATCTGGGGTTAGTGGTTGAGCAATCCTGGGATTGGGTCTCACATTGGGCTTCTTCCAGGAGACCTGCTTCTCCCTGTGCCTATGTCTCTGCCTTTCTCTCTGTGTCTCTCTTGAATAAATAAAAACAATTTTTAAATCAAAAGGAAAAAAAGCACATTATATATACATCAATGAGAGAAAGTTATATGATCTCACTTATATGAGGAATTTAAGAAACAAAACATAGAAGCATAGGGGAAGGGAGGGAAATATAAAACAAGATGAAATCATGGAGACAAACCATAAGAGACAATCATAGGAAACAAATTGAGGGTTGCTGAAAGGGAGGGGGAAGGAGGGATGGGATAATGGGGTAACAGGCATTAAGGAGGGCACTTTTTTTGATGTGATGAGCACTGGGTGTTATATGCACCTGATGAATCACTGAACACTTCTCTCTCTCGGGAACTGCATTAGGTGTTATTTAATTGAATTTAAATTTTATGAATAAATATGTAAATACATTTTATAAATAAAGAAATAAATACATGCACCTTATACCTTTTACCAGGAATGCTGATCTAACTAAAACAGAAAATAACCAAATTAGAAGGATAAGGAGATTTGAAATTTGTGAATGTGTGGTAGAGGAGAAGATAAAGCTAAATCTCTGTTGAAAGTAATTAATAATGCCCAATACCAAAAAAAGGAAGGAAGGAAGGAAGAGAGAGAAGGAGACAAATATATAAAATCAAGAAATATCATTATAAACATGCTATTTTGAAATATGGAGATAAACACACACACACAGAGAAAATCCACCAAAAAAATTTAAGGTGGGTGCTCCTCAGAAATAAAATGGAGAGGGCAGCTGAAGAGAGTCTTCACAAATCCACAATTGTGGGCTACTTTACAGAATATGCGCATATAACTTTTTAAAAAATAGAAAATAGGAAATATTCAGAAAATAGGAAGTATTCAGGAAACAAAAATGAACATGTTTCACGCTTAGGTTAGGAGAGGTGGGGTTTTTAGGGAGAATATGAAAGGTTTGAGGAGATTCAAAATGTGGAAAGGAACAATATAATTACAAAAACGTTGCCAGATTTCATACAGAAAATCAAGAACCATGGGATGCCTGGGTGGCTCAGCAGTTGAGTGCCTGCCTTCCGCCCAGGGCGTGATCCTGGCTTCCTGCATGGAGCTGCTTCTCCCTCTGCCTATGTCTCTGCCTCTCTCTCTCTCTCTCTCTCTCTCTCTCCATGTATCTCATGAATAGATAAATAAAATCTTAAAAAAAAGAAAATCAAGAACCAAGGTAGATTTATTTTTTTATTTTTATTTTTAGATTTTATTTATTTATTCATGAGACACACACACACAGAGAGAGAGAGAGAGAGAGGCAGAGGGAGAAGCAGGCTCCATGCAGGAAGCCCAATGTGGGACTCGATCCTGGTACTCTGCGATCACTCCCTGAGCCAAAGGCAGACGCTCAACTGCTGAGCCACCCAGGCGTCCCCCAAGTTAGAGTTAAAGGACAAATAATACAGTAAAAAAAGTGTTGGGAGCGGTCCCGCAGTGCGAGGCAAGGTTCCAAGTTGAGCCAAAGCTCCCTGCTGTCCCTGGCCAACCCGCAGTCCTGCGGCGCGAGGCAGGGTTCTGGGTTGAGCAAAGGCTCCTTGTCGTACCTGGCCAACCCGCTGGGACTGCACCTAGCTCTTCCCCCTTATGGAAGTAAAAGTACATATTTGCTTCTCCTTTAAAATGTCATCGAGACAAGTTCCCATAAAGTAAGCAAGAAGGTGGCCTGACACATGACCACCTTGGCAGACATTACTTAATAAGCAAACCTCACTGTTTAGTCTATATGTGGCCTTCATGCTCTATTGCTTAAACAAATAACAGGTGTTAGTTTTAAAAACAATGTATGTTTGTGCGCGAGATGTACTTCTCCTTAAAGAAATAGGCCGCCTGCTTACGGACGCTATATAAACTCTACATGCAAAAATAAAGCTTGTCCATTGTGGCCATCAGCTGCATGGAACCTCCTATCCCATGAACTTTTAGTCTCTTGTTTCTTTCTCATCCCCTTGCCCTCGGTTCCTGAATCCGGACCTTCTCGCGCCGGCCGCGACAAGTGGCGCCCGAACAGGGACACGAGACAAGTGAAAGAAGAAGTGTTTACGTTGCAGGTAAGGGGATCACGGCGGCTCCGTGAACGATAGGAGTAAAATAATCATGGGACAAAGGCAATCTGTAGAACATGGGTATTTTTTAAAAGTTCTACAGGCTCTTTTAAGGGAAAAGGGGTTTAAGGTTTCTCATAACTCTTTGGATAAGTTCTTTGATACAGTTAGAATAATATGCCCTTGGTTTCCTGATCAGGGCTCGGTGGATCTTTCGGATTGGCAGAGAGTTGGACAGACTCTGAAAAATGAATTAAAAATAAGAGGGGAACAATTGCCTCCTGATATATGGACTACATGGAATTGTATGAAGGAGGTTCTGGATCCTACAGACTCTATTGAGATTATCTCTTTGAATTCTAAAAGTGAAGAGTCACCACCCTCGATGGAGGGGAGCTTAGAAAATCAAAAAATCCATACTCCCCCTTTACATAAACTATCCCTTAGAATAGATGATGAAAAAGAGGATCTGTTTGATGGTCCCTACCTTGAAGATAGAAGGGAGGAGATTTTTGTTTTAAATCATGCTGAACCTCCTCCCCCACCTTTATTACACTCCTCTGCTGTGCAAACTGAGAAGGCTCCTCGAAGCCTTTTTCCTGTTCAACCAGACGATTCTTACCCAATAAAAGGAGCTACTCCATTACAAAGAACTCTATATCAAGCCTCACAGAGGGGAGAAGATGTATCTGAGTTTCAGTTATTTCCTGTTACTGTGCAGGGGGGACAAAGAGCACACACTGCCTTAAGCTTTAAAGTACTAAAGGACATAAAACAAGCATGTACTCAGTATGGCCCTACAGCGCCTTTTACTCTATCTATGTTAGACAATTTGACACGAGAAGCGTTATGTCCTGGAGATTGGAGGGTCATTGCACAAGCATGCCTCTCCCCGGGGGACAATTTGTTATGGAAAACGCAATTCTCTGAAAATGCTGAAAAACAGGCCAGCTACAATAGGGGAACTAACATTCCTGTTGATTACAACATGTTAACTGGTTCTGGTCCGTATTATGACGTGGGCTTGCAATTGGATTTTCCTGAAGTAGCTTATACCCAAATTAATAGTTGTTCTCTGTCAGCATGGAAAAAGCTACCTACCACAAATACAAGGTCACAGGAACTGTCAAAAATCAGGCAAGGTCCCGAGGAAAATTATTCTGATTTTGTGGCCAGATTGTTAACCGCAGTCAGTAGAATAGTCACCGATGCGGAAGCTGGCACTTTAATAGTTAAACAACTGGCCTATGAGAATGCTAATGCCGCCTGTCAAGCAGCCATAAGACCTTGGAAGAACCAGGGAACTCTTGAAGATTATGTGCGCCTTTGCGCAGATATAGGGCCCTCGTATTTGCAGGGAGTCACCTTGGCTGCTGCTTTTAAAGGCATCCCTCCTGCAAAATTGCACGCTCAGATACTAAAACAAAATAAGAACCCAAACATGAAAATGAATCAAAAATGCTTCTTATGTGGCCAATTGGGGCATTTTAAAAATCAATGCCCTCAGAAAAAGATTTCTCAAACTACAAAAAAACCTCAAAACCTTTGCCCTAGATGCCACAGAGGATATCATTGGGCTAATGAATGTAGATCAAAGACTGATTCTAACGGGAATCCCCTCTCGGGAAACTGGAAGGGGGGCTTGCCGCGGCCCCAACAAACAATAGCGGCCCTCTTTCCCCGACAAACATCACTCCCGTCTCCAACACCGATGACCTCCCTCGAATTGACAGATTATACCGCGGTACCCCCGCCAGTGCAGGATTAGATTTAGCTCCTGTTCATACTCACTATTTGGAGGGAGGCCAATTACCTAGAAAAATTCCTACAGGCATATGGGGGCCGCTGCCTAAGGAAACTTTTGGATTACTCCTTGGGCGTTCTAGTTCCACCATGAAAGGTTTAATTGTTTATCCAGGTGTTATTGACCCTGACTATACGGGTGAAATTAATATTATGGCATCCCTGAAGACTGGTACTCTCTCTCTGGAACCTGGGATGCCTATTGCTCAACTAATATTGCTCCCTATAATAAAAACCTCTAATCAAGCGCTTACTGGGGAGCGAGGAGATAAAGGTTTCGGATCCACCAACATATATTGGACCAAAATGATTTCTCCTGATAAACCTCTTTTTAACCTGGAAATAAACGGAAAGGTTTTTCCGGGCCTTTTGGACACTGGGGCAGATGTTTCAGTCATATCTAATCATAATTGGCCTAAAACCTGGCCCAAAAAGACAGTTGATGTACCTATTCGAGGGGTAGGCTTTGCCTCCTCCCCTGAACAAAGTTCTGATTTACTTACATGGAGAGATTTGACGAATGATTCACAAGGAGTATTTCAGCCCTTTATATTAGATATAGAATTAAATTTATGGGGCAGAGATGTTTTGTCTCAAATGAATCTCTCCCTTTCCAATGATTGGTCTTTTAATCAATTGATACAGCATGGATATCAGCCTGGAAAAGGTTTAGGTAAAAATTTGCAAGGGGACCCAGCCTTTATAGCCCCCATTCCTAATCCGGCCCGACAAGGTTTGGGTTTTCCCCAGGGCCATTGAATCCTCCCCATGCATTGCCTCTCAAGTGGAAAACTTCCACTCCTGTTTGGGTAGATCAATGGCCCTTAGTGAAAGAAAAAAGAGAGGCTGCTGAGATCTTGATACAAGAACAATTAAACCTCGGCCATTTAAAACCCTCTACTAGCCCATGGAACACCCCTATTTTTGTCATTAAAAAGAAAACAGGAAAATGGCGGCTTTTACAAGACCTAAGAGCAGTCAACCGGGTAATATTTCCCATGGGGACCCTACAGCCTGGCCTCCCTTCTCCCTCTGCCATTCCGCTAAATTTTCAGATGTTGGTTCTAGACCTAAAGGATTGCTTCTTTACCATATCTTTAGCCCCTGGTGACGGGGAGCATTTTGCATTTTCTTTGCCCTCTACAAATTTGCAAGAACCCTACTATCGATATGAATGGACTGTTTTACCTCAGGGAATGGTTAACAGTCCCACCTTGTGTCAAGAATATGTAAAAAGAGCTATAATCCCTTTCAGGAAACGATTCCCTGAGGTATATTGTATTCATTATATGGATGACCTATTACTGGCAGCAGAGACCAGTGAACACCTGGCTAACGCCTTTCGGGTTCTTTCCCAATGTCTTAGCTCTGCTGGACTTCAAATAGCTCCTGAGAAGGTACAGAGAGAAGCTCCCTTTGAGTATTTAGGATATCTTATTAGTAAACAGAGTATTAGGCCACAGAAAATCGCAGTTAGAACCTCGCAATTAAAAACTTTAAATGACTTCCAAAAATTATTAGGTGATATAAATTGGCTCCGCCCTTCGCTGTCTCTCACCACTTCTCAGTTACAGCCCCTTTTTTCTATTTTAAAAGGGGACTCCTCCCCTTCATCTTTGAGACAGCTTACTCCAGAAGCAGAGGATGCCTTGGCTTTAGTAGCAAATAAAATTTCCTCTGCGCAGCTCCAACAAAGAGATTTGACAAAGAATGTTAACTTAATAATCTTAAAACCTGATGCTCTCCCTATGGCAGTGTTGTGGCAAACCCATGGGCCTTTGGAATGGCTCCATTTAGCTATGCATGTTTTGCATGTCATCAACCCGACGATTTCCCTTATATCTTTATTAATTGCTAGGGGACGGAAGAGATGCATCCAATTATTTGGACATGAGCCTCATAGTATTGTATGTCCTCTTTTAACCGCCTCATGGTAGAGGATGCATATCAAACCTCCCTGGAATGGCAAACATCTATGGCAAATTTTCCTGGTCAATTTCTTTTTCATCTTCCCAATGACAAACTCCTTCAGGGACTCTCCATCATTCCTACTATATTTGTCTCTCCAATTTCGAGTCAACCGATTAAAGACGCTCCCATCATATTTCCGGACGCCAGCAAAGACGGGCACATTGCCATTGTCTATCTGCATAAACAACATAAAAATGTCATTCAGTTGTCCTATAAGACAAAATCTGTCCAGAGGGCTGAACTTTATGCTGTCATGAAAACTCTTGAAATCTATCAAGAACCCTTTAATCTCTATTCAGATAGTCAATATGTCGCCAGGATATTACCCATTCTTGCTGATTCTTTCATAAACTCTAATGATGAGGAACTTTCGTGCCTTTTTCATAAAATACAGCAGCTGCTCTTAAAAAGAGTTTCACCTATATTTGTTTCTCATATTAGAGCACATTCTGGTTTACCTGGGCCTTTATCCTCGGGAAATGACTTGGCTGACAGATATACTCATTTATATTCTGTCATTGCTAATAAGGATTCTGTCGGTATGGCAATGAAAAGTCACTCTCTTTTCCACCAAAACGCTCGATCCCTACGAAAGCAATTCCATATAACTAGAGAACAAGCTAGGCAAATTGTTAAAAATTGCTCCCTATGTCCCCAATATGTTAACACCCCTTCCTTTGCCATTAATCCGCGAGGCCTTTTGCCCAATGATCTCTGGCAAATGGATGTAACACATTATTCATCTTTTAATAAATTACAATTTGTGCATGTTTCTATTGATACCTATTCTGGCATGATCGTAGCTTCTGCTCATTCTGGTGAAAGTTTTACTGATGTTCAAAATCACCTTTTTCACGCTTTTGCTTACATGGGAATGCCTAAACGATTAAAAACTGATAATGGGAGTGCTTATATATCCCAAGCTTTTAAAACCTTTTGTGAAACATTTCACATCCAGCATACCACAGGCATCCCTTACAACTCTACAGGTCAAGCTATTATTGAAAGAGCTCATCTTACACTTAAAAATACCTTACAAAAACTAAAAAAGGGGGAGATTATGGCAGGAAAGATGAAATATTCCCCCCACATGCACCTAGACTTAGCAATATTCATTTTAAATTTTTTGATTGTGCATGATGATGGATATACACCATCAGAAAAACATTGGGGAAAAAATACTGATCCACCCCTTATGGCAAAGTGGAAGGATCCTATGACAGGACAGTGGAAAGGCCCTGACCCCTTGCTTAGACAGGGTCGAGGATATGCTTGTATCTTCCCACAGGATGAGGAAGCGCCACGCTGGGTTCCAGCCAAATTTGTTAGAGATATCAAAACTGAGAAGGAAGATGAGTCGGCTGAACTTATGCCCTCCTCGGAAGAAGAAGACTCGTAAGACGAATCTGCCATCATGGAGGCAAATGAGGAAATCAACCTCGCAAGCCACAAGTTTGGTAATATCCTCTGGTAAACAACTAACCCCCTTGACTCATTTTCTGGCTTGCCTCAGCCTTCTTATTATCCCTCCCCCTGCTGAAGGAAAACTGTTCTGGGCTTATTTGTCCAGTCCTCCTGTAGCACAGCCAGTAACTTGGGAGGATCCAACCCCTAAAATTCATATTAATTTCTCTATCTTGGGGAACGGGGTCCCTAGTTTCTTCCCTTCTGTGCAATCTCCTATAAATTATTCCGGATTGGCCTTTCACCCTCCGATCTGTTTTCAAAAAGAAACCCATCCAAAGAGACTAACACTCTCTTGCTTGGGATCCGTGCCTGTAGGCAGAGTCCTAAATTATTCTACTTGGTCTCTCTTTCATGTAAAAGGTAAAATGCAATGGGCACAAAAGTATATACAGGCCTATTGGCAGAAGTTGGAAATCATTGGAGATGGGGTTCATGATTCCAAGAGTGCCCCTATTGTTATGAATCAATGTCCTTACAAAGGAAATGCATTAGAAGGAACCTATGCTTTTGATGATTGTCAGATGTATTCACCCAAGACCTTCTCTCCACATGAAGTGGACTTCCCAATATTTGATCTATCTCGATCAGCACGTCATACTTCCACCTCCACATTGGGTCCCATCCTAAAACCCCTTCGTTTAATTCCTAGCTATATGCGCATACCCAATGCGGAATTGCAAGAGCACACTCGAGCTATCCCGCGATCCATTTTATTGACTAGTACAGGAAAAGTACACAGAGATTTATGGAAGCTTTATGCTGCTTTTGACCAGATTTACACAAATGATAGCATAGGCTTTCCAGAGGCTATTCTAAATCCCACGTTCCGCGTTCGCACATGCGTGCCCCCTCCCTTTTTCTTAGTAATAGGAAACGGCCAGGTAACTGTCGAAAAAACTAAAACCTCTACCTTTTATCGACTTCATTGTCCCTCGTGCATATTAACAAATTGCATACCTATAGATAAGAAGATTGATTTCAACACAAAGTTATTCCTGGTGCAACAACCTCCATATTGGATGATTCCTGTTGATGTGAGAGGACCTTGGTACGCGAACTTTGGCATGCAGTTAGCTCAAGAATTGGTGAAGAAGCTAAGAAGAACTCCAAGATTTCTTGGACTTTTAATTGCAGGGATAGTGGCTACTATTGCTCTTATTGCTTCTGCTACTGTATCTGTTGTATCTTTGCATGAAAATGCTCAGACTGCTGAACATGTAAATGAATTTGCTAGAAATGTAACTGTTGCTCTCGATGCTCAAAAGAGAATTGATGAAAAAATTGAAGCACAGATTGAAGCTTTAAAAGAAGCCGTTTTATATCTTGGTGATCAATTTGTTGTACTAAAAACTATAACCCAATTGACTTGCCATGACGCTTATAAGCATATTTGTGTTACCCCTCTGCCTTTTAATGGTCATGGGAAAATGTACGTATGCATTTACAAGGGGTTTGGAATCATGCTAATATTAGTCTGGATCTCTTAAAATTACAACAAGAAATAAACGTCATTAGTCAAAGTATGTTGCATTATGAAGACCCCGGCGATTTAGCTGGTGAGATCTTAAATCAGTTAAATGGTTTTAATCCCTTCAATTCATTGAAATATTCCTTTTGGATATTTTTGGTATTAATAATCGGATTAATTCTGATGTATGTAATGTTTGCCTGCTCTTGCAGAAAATTCAATAATCAATTAAATTCCTCTAAGGCACAACTTCACTTTTTGCATTTGAAAAATATAGGGGGAGATGTTGGGAGCGGTCCCGCAGTGCGAGGCAAGGTTCCAAGTTGAGCCAAAGCTCCTTGTCGTCCCTAGCCAACCCGCAGTCCTGCGGCGCGAGGCAGGGTTCTGGGTTGAGCAAAGGCTCCTTGTCATACCTGGCCAACCTGCTGGGGCTGCACCTAGCTCTTCCCCCTTATGGAAGTAAATGTACATATTTGCTTCTCCTTTAAAATGTTATCGAGACAAGTTCCCATAAAGTAAGCAAGAAGGTGGCCTGACACATGACCACCTTGGCAGACATTACTTAATAAACAAACTTCACTGTTTAGTCTATATGTGGCATTCCTGCTCTATTGCTTAAACAAATAACAGGTGTTAGTTTCAAAAACAATGTATGTTTGTGCGTGAGATGTACTTCTCCTTAAAGAAATAAGCTGCCTGCTTTCAGAGGCTATATAAACTCTACATGCAAAAATAAAGCTTGTCCATTGCAGCCATCAGCTGCATGGAACCTCCTATCCCATGAACTTTTAGTCTCTTGTTTCTTTCTCATCCCCTTGCCCTCGGTTCCTGAATCCGGACCTTCTCGCGCCGGCCGCGACAGTGAACCAATGCATACCATTTACATTTTCCATTTTTGAAAGTTGGAAATATGAATTATCTTTTCTTAGTAAGAACTAATAGCTAGGATTACAAAATAGAGCTGCGGGAAGAGAGCTTAATAGGAAGAAGGAAAAGAGGAAAGAGAGAGCAGCTGGGAAGCTGTCCCAACCCATGTAAGGGCTTGAATTCTCTCAGATGTTGGGGCTCTTTTCCAGACATCAAGAACTGTTGATGTTTTCAAGGGATAGTGTTATTTAATTAAATAGAAGGAAAGGAGAAACCAATGTGTCAAACAATTTGCTCATACAAGTTACAGTTCCATGGATATATTATTTTTAAAGTAAATTAATGTCACAATTACAAAATATATGTGTAACTAATATCTTCTTGGATTCTGCATGATTTACTATTTTGCAAGGAGAGATGTTAATGATGTAGTATTTTAAAAAATGCTTTGAAATATAATTGACATGACATCACGTAAGGTTAATAAAAATGGTGTGTTCACTTGATTCATTTATATATTGTAATACGATTCCACTTTGGGGTTAGCTAACACCTCTATCACATCACATAATTATTTATTTCACGAGGAAGAAATTAAAATCTAGTCCTTTAGCAACTTTCAAGTTTACAACATGGTATTGTGGTCTATAATCACTATTTTGTGATCAGAGCTCCAGAACTCATTTATGTACTAGTTGCACACGATTTACTCTTCTACTATCCCTAGTGCTTTGTTATTTGTTTCTTCCTGTTGTTCTCCACTACCCTCAACAGAAGACAATGTAGGAAACCCACAGGAGGTGAAAGAAGTGTTTGACAGGAAAAGCTTCAGAGAACTGATCCCAGTTAGCTCCAATTTTTTCTGTTGGGGAAGATTGCCACTATTCTCCCTTTTGTCCTATAATACACAGGCCTAGCTTGCAAAGCAGGGTGGATTTTTAGGCCATCTCAAAGAGATACAACTAGAAAAGATAGGCTCTTTAAATTTTCCAATACAATTGTGGAAGTTGTGGTTTCGTGAGAGAATAGAATTGGAAGCCTATCAGTTCTAATTCAATCTCAATACCCACCCACTTAATTCTTTCAGTCAATGGTTCATTTCTTCTTAAATGGACAGGCAGATGGGTTTATTTGATAGGCTAAAAAGGGGTAAGAGTTGAATTTCTAGGCCAGTCCCACCTACCATTTTATTGGAAGTCAGCTGTAATTGAGCTAAAGTTGTTTTTCAGATCAACTTGGAGCAAAATATCGCCTCTCTGACAGACCTCTGGGAGGAGGTCAGATCTAGATCTGTTCAGATCTAGGTGGAACTTCAAGCTGTGACTAGAGAGCTCCATGGACCCACGGCAGAAGTTTCCTTTGAACTTCAGGATTCACAGATGGGCAGGGGAGAAAATTAAGGGGAAGACACAGATAAGCCTGATAACTCCCTTCTTGACAATGGGTAATTTCAGATTCATTGTATTAATTTCCAGGCCTTGAAGGAGGAAAAAACTAAGTACACTTCCTCAAGCCAGAAGCAGAAAGCTTGTAAGTCCCTCCTGTAGCAAAACAGGAGGGCAAAGGGAAAATCTGTTAAGGGTGAACTACATTATTGAACTATGTTAACAATGCATTGTTAAAAAAAAAACGCACACACAATGCATTGTTAAGAACAAGACAACAGGGATCCCTGGGTGGCGCAGCGGTTTGGCGCCTGCCTTTGGCCCAGGGCGCGATCCTGGAGACTCGGGATCGAATCCCACGTCGGACTCCCGGTGCATGGAGCCTGCTTCTCCCTCTGCCTTGTCTCTGCCTCTCTCTCTCTCTGTGACTATCATAAATAAATAAAAATTAAAAAAAAAGAATGCACACAAAAAAAGACCCTTAATGGGATGAATACCCAGCTTGTCAAAAAACAAAAACAAAAAAACAAAAAAACAAAAACAACGCTTAATGATGGAGTAAAGATAAATCTGTCAGTTTCTCATATGTTGAATATTCATCATATAGTCTATGCAGCTGTATCTCAGAATGCTGTTTCCATTTTTTTAACATAAAGCAGATTACTAGTTTATTCTTAGATACTGAATTGTGTCCCTTGTATGCCTAAATGAACTGTTATAAGACAGGACTTTAAATAGTATTTTGTTATTCTCAGTATTTTTTTCTTATTCTATGATCAGGTTTATGGTATATAGGCTACATTATTTTTGGAGATAGGCAAAAGATTATATGAAGAGCATATTCCTAGTTGGTATGCAGATATTCTGATGGATATTTATTCAGTGTTAAATAAAACTAGTGCTATATTAAATCATATGTCCATATATGTTAAGGTATGGATGTTGTACTTGTTGATTTATTAGTAGAGGAAGTGATCTTATTTATTTCTCTAGTAGGCTTGTTTCATAGGTTAATTCAGAGACTAATCATATCTTTTCAGACTCAATAACTTATGTTTCAAATTTTACAAAACTGTAACTTGGAAGTAATATATCAATTCTTATATCCTCCCTGATAATATAAGTAATATATCAATATCTTACTGGTACTTAAAATCTTATACTTCAAACTAATTTAAATGACCAATTTAAACATTTAAAGTAATTAAATATATCTATATAAATATATATAAAATACCTGACTCCAGAAGTGAATTTAAGGTGAAACTCATGAAACTGAAGCTCCAGACCCCAACTTGCACAGGTCCTTTTCCTTTTTCTTTTTCTTTTTTTTTAAATTCCTTAATTTTTTATTCCTGGTACCACTACCACAATTTACAGGGCAATATACCTGATGTAATTAAAAGAAAAAGAAAAAGACAAAGCTACAACAGATAAAAGACCTCAGGAATGTACATTTAATTGACACTACATTGCATTAATCAATAGCTGCAGCTTTTTGCAAACTGTGGCTTTCTTGCAGCTTTTTGCAAACTGTGGCTATGACAGTCCTGAACAAGAAGAGTTTCCTATTTAAGCTGCAGTAACTTTTCTGACTATGGATCATCGTTCCTCCTGTGGCAGATTTTTACAGTTCCTCTAATGCATTTGGGACGACTGTCTGAAAGTAACCTGCAGCTTTCCTGACAACTCCTCTCTTTCTCTCCTGCTAAGAACTGTAGCCCTTTTCTTCTGAAATTTTTTTAGAAACTTTTGCTACCGTATATATAAATCTGTTTTCTCTGTAATACCAACTATTTCTTGATTACCCTAAGAGAAAAAAAATTAAAAATCCTAAACATAGATTACAAAGAACATGCAAAGTCCATATGCATTTTGACTTTTATATCTATTTTTGAAGTATAATAATGAGAAAAGTGAACATATGTGTAGAGATGGCAAATTTTCACTGATGACGAGCAATATCCCATCAAGAAATAGAACATTACAAAAAAAAAAGGAAAGAAGTAGAACATTACAAGCACCCTGAACCCCCCATGTAGTTTTCTGGTGTCTACCTCCTTTCACTCAGAGTAAGCATTCTCAACTGACTGCTAAAAGCACAAATTATTTTCTCCTGTTTTGAACTTTATAGTCATGGAGCCATACAGTATATATATATATATTTGTGTCTGGCTTCTTTCACTCATCATGCTTTTATATCTACATAATATTTATATCTACATACTGCACTAAATATGCATATAAATACATATATTTATCTTTTATAAAACTCATCATCATGTTTGGGAGAGTCATCAGTATTTTCTGTGTAATTCTAGACTATTCATTCTCCTGGCCGCATAGTGTGCATTGTGTGAATATACCACATTTTGTTTATACGCTGTGCTCTTGATGGACATTTGGTAGTTACAGTTTTTGGCTAATACAAGTAGGTGTGATATGACATAAAAAATTATGTCTTTTCATGGACATATGTATACATTTCTAAGAGCCAAGTTACTGGGTCATATGTTTCTATATGTTTGGCTTTAAAAGATACAGTTTTCCAATGTAGTTGTGCGATTTATACTCATACTAGCAGTGTGTTAAAGTTTTGGTTGCTCTAGATTCTTGATAAAATTTTCCATTTTTTAAATTTTAGTCTTTCCAGTAATATTGGTGATTTTTATTTGCATTTCCATAATAAAAAATTTCATATTTTTTGTCATTGAGGTATTCCCATTGGTTCAGTACATTTTTGTGCACGTTTTAGTTGGATGTTTCTGTTTTTGTTTTTTTCCTAGTGATTTGTAGAAGTTCATTGTGTATTCTGGTATTAGCCCTTTGCTGAATATCTGTATTAATATTTTCTCTCAGACCTTTTGTTGACATATGACATATAAGACTCAAATAACATACTGCTCACAAAAAGTCACTTTGGGTTATCCCCCAATCAAAGGATGAAGCTTTTCTCATATATTTGTTCCACCACCACTTAGGGGTCCAGGTACCATATTCTCCAGCCCTGTCCTGGCCTCCTTTCAATCCAGAAAGATTTGAGAAGTGATTAGCAAGGCTAAATTCATAATGTTTGCTAGTATATGTCATAGTCTCAGGAATATTATAGAGATTAGAGTACAGAGTCATATTTAGTCAACTTTAGAAGATTAAATTCAAGTTTGTAAGGATGAGTTGGATGTGCATTTGAAGTAAATACCATTTTTTTAGGAGATTTAGGTGGTTTCCACTCAAAGGAAGAAGTGGCTTTTAGAAAAGATGCCCTTTTTGTTAATAGACACATGACATGTTTTATTTATTATTTATTTATTTATTTATTTATTTATTTATTTATTTATTTATTTTTACATGACATGTTTTAAATCCAAGAATGAAAACACTATTGTTATGTTGAAGCCCAGTCCTGAAGCTCCTTGATACTGTGGCCTGTCTTCTGTTTGTACAAAATGTAAGAACCTTTCTCTGTTACTCTTCCTCACTCTTTTTTTAAATATATGTATCAGGAATGTGTTCTGCTGTAAATAGCAATTTAAACCCATGAGGGGTGATCCCTGGGTGGAGCAGCGGTTTGGTGCCTGCCTTTGGCCCAGGGCGTGATCCTGGAGACCCGGGATCGAATCCCACGTCGGCCTCCCGGTGCATGGAGCCTGCTTCTCCCTATGCCTGTGTCTCTGCCTCTCTCTCCCTCTCTCTGTGTGACTATCATAAATAAATTAAAAAAAACCCATGAGGGCTTATTGGTTTTATGAAACAAATTCAGGGGTGAGGTGTCTGAAGCTAGTATATCAGCTTAAGATGGTTGCAAGGGACCTAGCTGCATTACATTTTCACACTCTCCTCTCTTTAGCGTGTAGGTAGGTCTTTGTCCTTCTGCTTATGGGCTCTGGGTCATAGGATAGCTACTGTACCTACAGGGAGAAAATATGTTATCCAGGCAGGAAGAAGTCAGAGAGCAAAAAACTAGTAGGCTAGTCCCTAGTAGGCTTCACATTCATGTTGAAAATCTCTAGGAACTTTTGCCTGGTTCTTATAGCTTGAACTCTGACATATGGCTGCATTTGGCTCCAAAGCAATCTGAAAATTGAGATGTTTTGTTTTCTAGCTGAGAGAGGATGCAGGACACGGACAAAAAAAAAACTGTAGAAGGGATAGGGTCCCCAGAATAGGCCACAGAACCATCACCTCCCTCCCTTCTTTCTTACATATTTTTTCAACTATTGGTTATCATTATACAAGTATTAGAGGCTTATTAAAGAATATATGAAAAATATTTAACATCCTAAACAGTCACTATAGGTATCTTGGCTTGCATTTCCTAGTCACCTTGGAAAACAAGATTGGGGTGCTCAGTGTCCTCATTGGTTTGGGAGTGTCACTGCTCACAGGCATTCCCGGTGGACAGAGGTGGGTTATACATGCAGACTTTCCATCTATATTTATTATCTTTAGTTATTTCTACATGTATCTGTTTATTATAAAATAAGTGAATTCACATTGATTTAGCCAAATTCAATCCCACGTCATTCTAGCTGTATTTTTTTTTTCTATTTGTCAGCCCTAAACACTGTGAGAAACCCGGCTCTCATTATCCTCTACTTGTTTGCTTATTTGATCAGTCTCTCTGTAACCAGTCTCTTGTCTCACCACTTTCGTCTACCATCCCTCCGGATGTCTTCCTAGCTCTAGTTAGCCTTCAGCAGCATGTGCCAGGCTGCTCCCTCTCTCAGACACGACCTTCTCTTCCTGCTTGCGCTCAGACAGCTATGCTAGGCTGCTCCTCTGCCCCCACTCCCTTCCTCCTTCCTAAAGGAAGCCCCTTCCCCTAGAGGAAGCTGAACGCTGCAGCTTCTCCCTGGTTCACTGGACCACCTACTCCTACCTTGATGGGTGATGCCAGTTATTTTTAGACTGAATTTCACAAGAAAAGAAGGGAAAGGAGAGAAGGATATGAAAGAAACCATTTGCCTTTTTGTTCTATGCTTTTTTCTGATGTTAGAAATTTTATATTTTCTTTAGGTAAATTGATTAATCTTTTTTGGGTGATTTAATATATATATATTTTAAATATTTTATTTATTTGTTTGAGAAAGAGAAGACACTAGAGAGAAAGAGAGAGAGAAAAGCATGAGAGAGCATCAGAGGGAGAAGGAGAAGCACTAGAAGGAGCCTGACCTGGGGCTTGATACCAGGACCCTGGGATCATGACCTGAGCCGAAGGCAGATGCTTAACTGACTGGGCCACCCAAGCGCCCCATAATATATTATTTTTAAGTCTAAAATAAGATGCCCATAGAGATATTGAAAAATATATTAGTTTTTCTAATTTTTTTGCATTTAGTTATCTAATCAATTGGGCATTTATTTTGTCATTTAATGTCCAAGAGAGGGAGGATCTAACCATTTTTTTCTGTTATTGTAACACCACCTTCCTTTTTAAAAATTTTCTTCATATTCATTTCTTGTGACTTCCCTTATCGCTTTTCTGTGTCACTCTACTTGTATTTACTTTTCCTCTTTGCACCTGTTTTCTATATTCCCTCAAATCCCACCACCAGAGATCACCACATCTGCCAACTCCCCTGAGAGCACACTTTGCTTTTCCCTCTGCATTCTTCATAATGCTTTCTCTATACCTTGCATGACTGTCAGCAAGCTTTTAGGCAATCAGGCTGAGTCATTCACAGTAAGGAAATGCCAAATAAATCACAGATCTGTAAGGCCCTTCTTCAGAGAGGTGAGGGAAGAAGAACCCTCTGATTCTCTGAGATCTTCCAGTCCCAGCTTTCAGTCAGCAGAATCATTTTTCTCATTCTTCTCTGTGAGGTGACTATCTCACCTTAAGCAAAGTGCGCCTTGCGACTCTTAATAGATTTCTACCCTTGGGATACACTGGTCCAAAATGTTCCCCATAATGTTTAGGTGAAATATACCTGTTGGAAAAGGCAAGTTTAGAGGTTCCAGAAGCATTCCAGGACAGCTGCACCAGTCCTCCTTTTCCTTTCACTCCTCTTTCTCAGATAAACAGAACACGCTTACTTCACAGGTTGGAAACAGTCATGGATGTGAACCGCTTTATGCTTATGTTTCAACAAGATCCCATGAGATACCAACTACTCATTTCACTACTGCAGGTTTTATGTTACAGTATTATTCAAATTTTCAAATAAATTTCCAGTCTCTAAAATCCTAGGGCATAGTTCTCAGACCACAACTTAAAATAAGTAGGGGTTAAGCAACTAACGAGATAATAATGAGGTTTAATGAAAAAGAGTTCAAAGGACTAAAGGACCATGAGTGATTAAGTTTCTCTCCTCCTGATTCCCAAGTGAATGCATTTGTGAGGAACTTTGTTTTAGAAGGATGTTCAGGTCCCGAGTAAAGTCAGAGAAATGGCTAAAATGATGTGGTTATAAATAGGAAGTGTTTGGGGATGGGGGAGGGACCTGGGGAGCATGGAACAGATTTGTGAGCTGAGTGATTTTTGAAACTACCTTCAAGGGGAAAGTAATAAGACGACCCTATGTCATTCTTTCTGGAATGTACTGTCAACTCTTGATTATGGAAGGGAGCAGTGGA